GGCTCGAAGAAATGGATGGAGATCAGAGGAAGCTTCTGATGATGATCCAAATGATGATTCTTGTGGAGTTTGTGGTGATGGGGGTGAGCTGATCTGCTGTGATAATTGTCCATCTACCTTCCATCAGGCTTGCTTATCAATGCAGGTATTGTCTGGCTCATCCCAGGGTATGATTTAACATTTTGGCTATTATTTGTCCCAGTAATTAACTCTATGTTAAACATTGGGGCGAAACTTCTCCAGTTGCCAGTTGGTATTGTTCAAACATACACATGGGTGAAACTTCTTGGCTGATTCTGTAGTTTTACTTATTCAACTTTAGTATAACTAGGATTTTTTTACCTTACTAGAACTGTATCCTCTGTAAATTGCTACCCTCTAAAGAGCGTGGCTGTATTACTTTTGCTTTCTCTACACAGGTGCTCCCTGAAGGAAGTTGGTATTGCTCGAGCTGCTCATGTCAGATATGCAGCGAGTTGGTTAGTGATAATGGTGAACGCTCTCAGGATTTTAAATGTTCCCAGTGTGCGCATAAATGTAATCATCTTACTGCTCGCCATCTCTTAGAAATTATGATTTATTTCTTTATCACATGAAAGGAAACCCCTGATTTGAATTGTCTTCTATCATGTCTCACTGTCCATCAGTCACAGTTGTAGATGTTGGTTTATCTGCCAGGCTCGGCACTTCTCCATTTTCCTTTCTTAGTGATTGACACTTTCTAAAACTCACTTTTGGAGTTATGCCTCTCTTGACAGTTGAATCCCACATTAGTTACTTTGGTTTGAAATCCACTTTGGCTGATGATTGTTTTTTTTATGTTATCAGATCATGGAATATGTTTGCAAGGGATAAGTAAACGCAGAAAACTTTTTCCAGAGACCTACTTTTGTGGTAAAAATTGCGAGAAGGTATAAATCATACCTAGTCTCTGTGATTTAAACTACTAATGTGTATCGTGAATAACTTTTGTTCTTCCAAGCACTTTCTAGACTTGCATTGAAAATCATATATTTTTCGCTGCTCTTGGGCTCTTTGACATATAACAAAAGAAGATGTTACAGCTGCTTAACAACTTTCAAGGTTCTCATTAAGTAGTTTGTGTAATGCAGGTGTACACTGGCCTCAGTTCTCGTGTTGGGGTCATTAACCCTAATGCGGATGGTCTGTCTTGGTCAATTCTGAAATGTTTTCAAGAAGATGGAAAGGTTCATTCTGCCCGAAGGTTAGCGCTGAAGGCTGAATGCAACTCGAAATTAGCTGTTGCCCTATCAATTATGGAGGAAAGCTTTCTGTCTATGGTAGATCCAAGAACTGGTATTGACATGATACCTCATGTGCTATACAACTGGGGGTAACGTCCTTTTGTCATTAGCTTGCACATTTTGATTTCTGTTTGTTATTCTGTACCTTCAGTTCTGCTCTCATATTCATCGATTTGTCTTACCTTTTTGAATCTTTTGTTGCACTTAAAGGTCAAATTTTGCTCGCTTAGACTTTGATGGGTTTTACACAATGGTTTTGGAAAAGGATGATGTGATGATCTCAGTAGCATCTATCAGGTTAGTATGAGTAAATTCGAATTTATGCTGAAAAAACAATAATTTCATGGCTATCACATGTTTGGCATGTCTTCTAGAATCCTCCAGGCAATGAAACAAAAATTTGACACTATTGGCAAATGGATGCTTAGAACTATTCTTTCACCTGCATACACTGGAACGACTTACATATAAAACCCATTTTACTATACCCAGGGTTCATGGAGTAACTGTTGCAGAAATGCCTCTTGTAGCTACGTGCAGCAAATATCGCCGACAGGGAATGTGCAGAATCCTCGTGGCTGCCATCGAAGAGGTACAACATTTAGACTGTATCCATGTGATTGTTCTCGAGGCTCCATCCACATTAATAATGTCTGAACTTAGTACAATGATAGACATACAGCACCGCTCATATGCTGACCTTGATAATTTCTTAGCTCATGTTCACTCTTCCATTCTTGTCTTGATTCCTCGGCTATCAAAATATAAAACTATTCATTGGTTTTTGGCTGCAGATGCTTATGTCTCTCAAAGTGGAGAAGCTTGTGGTAGCTGCATTGCCAAGTTTAGTGGAGACTTGGACTGAAGGTTTTGGCTTCAAACCCATGGATGATGAAGAGCGTGATGCTCTCAAAAGAATAAACTTGATGGTGTTCCCTGGGACAATTCTGCTCATGAAAACACTATACGAGAGCACAAAACCCAACACTGTGGCAGGTAAAGCCAACTCCTCTCTCTCTCTCTCGCTTTAGTTACAACAAACTTCATCTGATTTTTGCTCTTGCACAGGTGCATGTCTTTGTGAAGATCGCAATAACCCATCAATCAAAGAAGCAGATCTAGAGCCAGGCCTAGACAAAGCCGAGTTTCCCATGAGTACCCAAGTTGAGAGCTGTGATCAGATGGTTCCATCAGGTTCAGATGAAGAACCAGTCCCAGGCTTACCCGTGCCACTTGGAGCCGAGCAAACAGAACCAACTTCAGAAACAGAGAACCCAACCCAAGACAGCAATGCCGATGATAGGCCAAAGACAACAACAGTCTCCATGGGAGAAGAAGAATGTTTGCAGGAAGAGATATCAAAGTTTTCAGAAGAAGGAAAAGAAGTGACAAGAGCTTCTTCTTCCTCTGCTTCCTTAGAAGAAGTTAGTGGTGTAGGAGTAGTGGTAGTAAATAATGTTAGCGATGAGATGTTGCTTTGTGTTGATGAACAACTTGACTCTGATAGCTCTCAAGATTCGGAATAATTTTATTAGACTAAAAAAAACTTTGACCGTTTCTTTCACTATATCCTCTCGTCACTTTTTTTTTTTTTTTGAAAGAAAACCCTAGTAAGACAAGGAAACCGCATAAAAGTAAACTAAAAATATATTCATTTTCTTTTTCAAGTCTCATCAACCCTCAAAACCCTAAACACCAAAAACCCATTTTTCCGAACAAATCATGGTTTTTGATGCTGTCAATCCAGACCCCGACAGCTTCGTCTACTATGATCCGATCTACAACGACGAAGGCGATTTTCGCAGAACCCAAAACTTGACGTTCATTTTTCATGTGTGTTACAATCTTGCCCCTGAAGTAAATTCAGATGGAGAAGAAGAAGATGTTGACAATCTTGAAACTCTAATCCGTGATCAAACTCAAGAGTTTGATAAAGAATTACTTTTCAGTGGAGATAGGGAGCAGATACAAGTCATTGTCTATCACTTGCTTGATTTGATTAAAGCCCCTCGTTATAGTGAGGTTGTTAGAAAACTCATTGATGCAATCTTTGATTTGAAGGAGCGTGATAAGATCTCTAACGTGATGAAGGTAGATGTAGTCATAAATGTTATTGTGTGGAGGTTTCCTGATGATGATGATGATGATGATGATGTAGATGTGAAACTTGAGGTGGCTCCGGCGAGCAATGAGGCGATAGAGCAGCACTTGGAGACGGTTGTTGTTGAGAATGATGGATATTGTGTGATATGCATGGATACGATCCGAGTTGGATCGGATATGGCAGCGGGTCGAATGCCGTGTTCTCACGTGTTCCATCGCACGTGTGCTGAAGATTGGCTTAGGAGTAGTGGGATTTGTCCGGTGTGTCGTGCCATGTTTCCGTTCTAATCCCTAAAACCCATCTCTCAACCATTTGTGTTAGTTTCGTTTATTATGTTTGATTTATGTAATCCCTTCACTTCTCTTTCCTTTATGCGTTTGAATGTTCAATACAATATGATTCATTTCACCAAGCCAGTTCATTGCTATTTTCTGTTTCTCATCCCTTTTGAGTTTTGATAGATATAGTTTAGGGAGGTGTATTGAATTGTGGATCTAACTTTTTTGGTGTGGTTTTAGTTAACTTCAAGGATATTCTGATGATTTTAAAGAGATTGTTAGAGATTTTATATAAATTAGTTCGTAGGGTTTTGAGTGATATCGAAAGTGTATTCATTTCCAAATATCTTGGTAGAGAGTATAATTAAGGAACATTCTCTTTGTAGATTTTGTTAAGTTTCTAGTTTTTTTTTTTTGTCAATCGTTAAGTTTCTAGTTTGGATATTGTATTTACCTTTTCTTGTAGATTTTAATTATATAAATATGTAATGCCTTAGTAAACAACTCTGATTATATAAATCTGTAATGAAAACGATTCCAACAAGGGAAATCTCAGGGATCCTCCTATCTTGTAGCGCTCGCTCCAAATGGATTCAATACAGAAATTTGTCTTCATTGGTTTTGAGCCTTTGACTAAAAAACAGCTTATATTGTGATGGTTTCCCAAAATCGAGAAAAAAAGTCTCTTAAATTCAATACACTCTCTATAGTCATTTGAATCCAATATATTCATCCAAGTGAGTGTAACCTAATGGCCAATGGTGAAAGTATTGCCTAGTACAACTTTAACAATTAAACAACAATCTACTTTTATTATTTCTTAAAACGCTTTCACCTATCAATGAATGCTATTCTTTATTTTTATTTTATTTTTTTTGTCATAATGCTATATATTCTTTACTTACTTATATTTAGTACTCCCTCCGTTTCGTTTTACTTGTCGTTCTAGAGTTAAAATTTTGTTTCATAATAGTTGTCGTTTTAGGTTTTCGATGCAAATGTTTTGTGAAAATTTCAGTTTTATCCCTACTGTTTTAATGTTTCGACCAATGAATTTTTTTATAAATTATATTAATAAAGGTTAAAACAGAAAATTTAATGTTTTTCTTAATTTGTGTGAGAAAACCTTAAACGACAACTAAAACGAAACGGAGGGAGTAGATTTTTTCCATTGACATTACTGATAATTTATGAGTCATTTATGTATTTATTAACATAAAAGTAGTCTACATTTGTTGGTCAAATAAATTAATTACCTGCCTAACTTTAGTTATCATTAATGTTAATATTGTATTTTAGTCATAACCTCTAAATGTTCAAAAAATGTATTTTATTCACAATTTTCATACAAACATACACATAAATCCGTGCATCTTCAAAAGGATCCGACCCGAATCCACCTGAGCTGAATAAACAAAACAAAAAAAAAAAACCGTTACAAAAGCTTCCGGGAAAGTGGATCCGCCGTAGCTGGAGGATCCGTTCGTTAGCAAAATCATGCCATCTTCTCCTAAGCTGTTTAACGCGCGGCCATCACTCTTCACGCGCCGATCGACGCCTTTGATCGTCTTCACCTCTCTTGCTATCGGTCTAACCGGTTTCCTTTTCGGATTATCCACGATTCTTTTCCCGGGTCTCCGGTTATCCGGCCGGACTTGCCTCACCAACTTGCCTCCGAAGACGGTTAAAATCGCCTGGGACGTAGTTGGAAATAGTATCGTTAATGGCGAAGTCAAAAGGCACAAGGTTATGGGATTCGTCGGAATCCAGACCGGATTCAGATCTGCTGGCCGGAGACGAGCTCTCAGGAACACATGGATGCCGTCCGATCCCGAAGGCCTTCGACGGTACTGATTCAATCTTCTCTCAATTGATAGGTTTCTTCTAGCTTCTCTGGAATCAATTTGCCACAAGGATTGAACTAATTGCATCATCTATTTTGATTTGATCATTGATCTTAATCTTAGACCTTGAAGACTGCATATAGAAATCTTCGGAATACACACTCATGATCTTCAATGCTTCATGATTCTTGGGACTTTCTCTATTTCACTGAAAATGTTCTTTGCAGATTGGAGGAATCAACAGGATTGGCCATTAGATTTATTATAGGCAAAACCAAAGATGAGGCCAAAATGGCTGAGCTTAGAAGGGAAATCGCAGAGTACGATGACTTTATACTGCTAGATCTCGAGGAGGAGTATAGTAAGCTCCCCTACAAAACGTTAGTTAGAGTCTAAATACTTTTTCAATTCACATCTCATATGACAGATAACTCGAAGGGCTCTAATTCATGGTCTTTGTTTACGTTTTCGGTTGTGTAGTTTGGCTTTCTTCAAAGCTGCATACGCCTTATATGATTCAGAATTCTATGTCAAAGCTGATGATGATATATACTTGAGGCCAGGTAATTGAATGCAGTCTCTGGTTTTGCAATTTGTGTCCTCAGGAAAGTTCTGGATTTCATAAGAGACTGTTATTTTCTTCACAGATCGGTTGTCTTTGCTGTTGGCTAAAGAGCGAAGTCACTCGCAGACATACCTCGGATGCCTGAAAAAAGGTCCGGTTTTCACAGATCCAAAGCTCAAATGGTAAGGACAGAAACAACTTATAATGAACAACTAACAGAACACGTGAATCATGCTATCCTTTTGAGAAACTTTGTGATTAGATATGTTCTGTGACACCCTATTATTTCTTGTGGTTCAATGTATCTGGAAATCGGTTGGAATTTTGCAGGTATGAACCTTTGGCAGATCTGCTCGGGAAAGAGTACTTTCTTCATGCTTATGGCCCCATATATGCTCTTTCTGCTGATGTTGTCACTAGTTTGGTTGCCCTCAAGAACAACAGGCAAGTTCTGTCTCCTCAATATTATTTGTCTTTGAAGTATCTTCACCCTAGAAGAGTTCTGACTTCATCTTAACAAGGTGAATTTGTTTCCCAAACTACAGTTTCAGGATGTTTAGCAATGAGGACGTGACTATAGGTGCGTGGATGCTGGCAATGAACGTTAACCACGAGAACCTTCACACCCTTTGTGAACCAGAGTGCTCACCATACTCCATTGCTGTTTGGGATATACCGAAATGCTCAGGTTCATTTTCTCCGTTCCCGGTTTTAAAGAATGGATTTAAAGTCACTTTCCATAAGCATTTCTGCAACAATTGATCACAATTTGGATTAAAAATGTTACTTGTGCAGGGCTCTGTAACCCAGAGAAAAGGATGTTGGAACTTCACAACCTAGAGAGCTGCTCAAAAACCCCGACTTTGCCATCGGATGAGGAATGATATACCCTCTAATATATAATTCTTTAATGATCGAAGACCCCAGGCGTAACAATATGCAGATCTCTTTCTCTGACATGTCCGCCATTGGAGTAGCTCGACACAGATTGTTCAAGCCTGTTTTACTTACTCTGCTCTGTTTTTTTCGGTGGAAATGCGAGAAAAGCAACGAGAATTGATCTCGCTTAAACGGCTTTAGGGATTTTTTAAACTAGGGTTAGATATTTTGGTGTATCACAAGTTTTGGGCACTACCTTGTTGTACAAGTATAAGATTAAACTAATCTAATAATAATAACAATCTCAATGTTTTTTGCACTTGTGAACAGTTGTGTCTTTTAATGGCAATTTTTCGTTAATATTTTTTTAAAAAATTAAAATATATATTTTACAGTTATGTTTTATTTAGAAAATTGTAATCCGAATGTCTTCTACGGTTGCGTCTTTTTATTGTAATTTTTCATAAAGAGTTGCAACCGCTTATTCGAATCCTTGCAATAATATTTGGTTAATTTCACTAACAACTAGAACCTTCGGTTTATATATTTAGTTTATTTCACGAACAATTGTAATTTTATAAATCGCTATAACATTTAATCGGTATAACTTTTCATAAATTGTTATTTTTAATTTTTAATCAACAAAATGTATTTAAATGAGATTGTAACCATTTAATTGAACCGTTGAAACATTTGGTTTATTTGACGACAACTTTTGGTTTTGTTTTACCAACGTTATAATCTTTAGTTTATTTGATGAACTTAACGAAATGCTGCAACTTTTGGTATATAGTAACATTTCATTTTTTAAAAAACTGAAAGAAAAATATTTTACGTTATGTTTTTGAGAAAGTTGCAATCCGAGTAAATGTTTTATACGGTTGCATCTTTTTATCTTAACTCTTCGTTAAACGGTTGCAACCGTTTAGTTGTATCATTGCAACATTTAGCTTATTTCACGAACAATTGCAACATTTATTTTATAATCGTTATAACATTTAATCATCTACCGTCGATGTAACTTTTCATAAATTATTATTTTTAATTCTTAATTTTAAATTATTAAAATGTATTTAAATGAGATTGTAACCGTTTAATTGAACTGTTGCAATATTTGGTATATTTGACGAATCATTGCAATGGTTTGTAATTTTTAGTATATTTGATGAACCATTGCAACATGTGGTATATTTGACGTACCGTTGCAACTTTTGGTAGATTTGATATCTACGGTCACGTCTCTCGATTAAAGTTCATCGTATTTTTTTTAAGTATTTAATTGCTAAAATATATTTAAATGAATTATTGTTACCGTTTAATTTAACATAGTAGCATTTGATTTATTTGCCGAACAAATGAACATTTTGACTTATTTGATGCCTTTTTCACTTGAGAATAATTTTTTAGTTGCAAATTAATGTTTTTCTAATACTAATATACTTAATAAATGTTTCTGAGGGTTTTTTTTTAATCATAAATTTCGTAAAATATATGAATTTCTTATTATAATTTTTTTTTCAAAATTGTTACAATTTATTATGATTTTTCGTTAATATTTTTTAAATAATTTTTAAAATATTTTTCTCGCGACATCGCGAAAGTCCTGTTTCCTAGAGCTCCTAAGTCCTAATAATAATTAGCTTTTTTTAATTTTATCTTTCTAGTTTTACATATTTTTCCAAATTATTTTTGGTTGGATCGAGTTTTTTTCATCCAAACAGTAATTGAAAGTAAAACTATTATCTTTGCTAGATGTCTTTTCACTTTGATTACTAAGATCATCTCTAGTTTAAATATAATTTCACTAATGTACACTTGTATGCAATATTTGGAAACACAACATACAATTTCCCAAACAACTTCACGACATATAATTTTAACTGTATCACATTCATAACAAACATTGATTTTTCCAAAGATAATATAGATAAATCGTTGGTCGTGAGCTCGTGACAGAGCTAAAACTTTCGAAATATCAAACCACAAAGTAATCACACGAAACCAAACTAATCTCAACACAAAGGGACCACAACAATCCAATGCGATGGACCACAAACAAAATCAACCTAACACTGCAGATACTTCTCCCGTACCTAACAAAGACACGAGATAGAGGAACACGGGGATGGAGAAAGTACCTTCCAACCGGATTCAACGAGAGAATCCATTGATACCAGAAAGAGAGAAAACACGATGGATCTATGAAAGAGTGAGAGAGAAAGGGAGAGACGATAAACGAGAAAGAAAAAATAAACACGGGAGAAAAAAAATATTAAATGGCCACCAACCAAATAACGACACGTAAGCAAATCCAAAGCTGTTGTAAAAATCCAAAATTAGACCCAAATCCATTGTTTTTATTCAGTATGAATCTATTTTTTGAACTTTTTGGGCTTTGGACATGGTCTTAGACCCACCGTTGAAGGTAGTCTAAAAATCAAACTTTGATAAAATCAAGTGTAGAATCATTTAAAAAAAACAATTGGTCAACTAATAAGATTCCACTGATTAAGGTTACATATATGTGTAATCACCTTTTGTTGTCTATGCTAACTGTAATAACAACATTTACTATTTTTGATGTATCTAAAATATCTTAGTAATAATCATATGATAGTTGACTATACTAATTATACCCAAATAATTTGTTGAGAGCCAATATTAATTAATACAAATTGAAATTTTTAAATTGAGGAATTAACGCGGGAAGAGAAAAAAACGGCAGAAGCATGGTGAGAGCCATAGTGGTTGTTCGGTCAGCAGCTGATTGCATCCTCTTCTTCATCTTCTCTTTTAAATACTCTTTCTTCTCTGTAACAAATCTTCACAACACAATCAAAATCCAAAAGTCTCAATCTTTTTATTCCAATTCCGATCCAATGGCTCCAACACTCTCAACAACCCAATTCTCAAACCCAGCTGAAGTAACCGACTTCGTAGTTCACAAAGGAAATGGTGTAAAGGGTTTATCAGAAACTGGAATCAAAGCTCTTCCAGATCAATACATCCAGCCACTTGAAGAACGACTCATCAACAAATTCGTCAACGAAACAGATGAAGCCATTCCGGTGATCGATATGTCGAGCCCTGACGAGAACAGAGTCGCTGAAGCTGTCTGTGATGCTGCTGAGAAATGGGGTTTCTTTCAAGTTATCAATCATGGAGTCCCTTTGGAAGTTCTTGACGACGTGAAGGCTGCGACTCACAGATTCTTCAATCTCCCTGTTGAAGAGAAGTGCAAATTCACTAAAGAGAATTCTCTGTCGACGAATGTTAGGTTTGGGACGAGTTTTAGTCCCCTTGCAGAGAAATCTCTCGAGTGGAAAGATTATCTCAGTCTCTTCTTTGTCTCTGAAGCTGAAGCTGAACAGTTCTGGCCTGATATCTGCAGGTAAGTTTCTCAATTACTAAATCAAATCTTTCTTCTGTTGTAATCATTGACTTATATAGAATTCTTGATTATTTGGTTTTGCAGGAATGAAACATTAGAGTACATGAACAAGTCAAAGAAGATGGTGAGGAAGCTTCTAGAGTATTTGGGGAAGAATCTCAATGTTAAAGAGCTCGACGAGACGAAAGAATCACTCTTTATGGGTTCGATTCGAGTCAACCTCAACTACTATCCGATCTGCCCTAACCCGGACCTAACCGTCGGTGTTGGTCGCCACTCAGACGTCTCTTCTCTCACTATTCTCTTACAAGATCAGATCGGCGGTCTACACGTGCGTTCTCTGGCGTCAGGGAACTGGGTTCACGTGCCACCGGTTCCCGGATCTTTTGTGATCAACATCGGAGATGCGATGCAGATCTTGAGCAATGGTCGGTACAAGAGCGTGGAGCATCGTGTCTTAGCCAATGGCAACAATAACAGAATCTCTGTTCCTATCTTTGTGAATCCAAAACCAGAGTCAGTGATTGGTCCTCTACCTGAGGTGATTGCAAATGGAGAGGAACCGATTTACAGAGACGTCCTGTACTCTGATTACGTCAGGTATTTCTTCAGGAAGGCACACGACGGAAAGAAAACCGTCGATTACGCCAAGATCTGATCACAATCGACCTCGAGGAGTTCGATTTCTTGTACGTTTTTTGTTTGTTTCATGTTTGTGTTGTGTGTGAGTGAATAAAAAAAGAAACATGAGAAGAGATGTTTGTCTTCTTGAACCAGTTTCTCTGTTCAGAAATGTGCTGTAAAACTTACTATCATTGATCAATACAGTTTTTCTTTTATCAGACTAAAATGTTACAGTAGCAAGGAACTTACAATGAATTGAAGAACCTATCTCAGTTTGATAAAATCCTCTGTTATAGCTTTGGCTCGCAGTCCTTTTTGATAAATCCTCTGTTTAACTCAAGATCATCGATAACTTGGTTGAATTCGAACATCTTCTTCTTCCTGAAGTAATTGATCGAGAAGTAGCAACCGATTACTCCTATGGTCATTACACCGCAAATAAGGTACACGATCTTAGTAGCAAACACTATAATCAGTATTAAAAACGCCCAAGGTATCAAGCACATAATCACCAGCCCTGGTATTTTCAGCGGAACTCGGTAAGGCCTCTTTAGCTCTGGTAGTTTTCTTCTTCGCCGAGGATATAATGTCTGTGAAGTTCATGTACGATAATCCGAGGGACATGAGAGCTGAGATTAGAATTCCGAGCCAAGGAGTGTTGAACCATTTCGATCGAATTTAGGCAAGAACCCTAATTCCGCCATCCCCTCCAGCTGATAAGCACTACCACAGCGATAAGAAGCGCCAACGGGAATGTCTTTTGAGGCTTGTCCACTTCCCCTGCAAGAGTACTGACATTGTCCCAGAAATTCAAGTTCCAAAAGAGTGTGTTGAAGTAGAGATTCCAATATTTTTTCTTGTTTCCTAAGTTACCCAACGGTGAGGTTTGATCTTAGGGATTGCCATAGCCGACATAACAAGGAAAGGCGAGAGAGACACCAGACCGAGAACAACAGCTGCGTAACCCACAATAGCTAAGCCAGTATAGTTTAAAAAAATAAGACCACTGTTGTCTGTTGAGGCGAATATGCAGACATTTCGGGGCCACCCGGATTCAAGAACAGGGAAGAGCTTATCCAAGTAAGTAACACAGAGGACAGGAAATGAAGCAACTTTAATCACACCATGCACTCAGGAACTTCAACGAACTCATCATTGAGCCCACGAAAGAACCAAATGCCCGATGTGCCCATATCATCAAATCAGAAAAGTTTCAGGCTTGGATCCAAATTATAACCCTAGTTGTTATAGTGTGAAACTATCAAATCTTTTTTATTGCGTAATTTAAATTTTGTATGGTTTTGTACTTATA